TTTATCTCCCCAAGTTCCACTCCCAAAACTTTCTGTTACACTCAGATTGAGTTGCCTGTGCTTGGTGCCCATGTCCAGTCAAACATGCCAGCTTGTTTAGATCCCCTCACTTTTGCTATGCTTGCAAACCCTCTCCATTTACTTCTCTATCTCATGCAGGGAAAAAGGATCTTTTCACCACCTAGCTTATTGCTAACACTCATTACTGAGTGTCAGTCATCATTATTGTTGGCATTATTAAAAATACAGAGTAAGTCACAGAGACTATTTAAAAGCAAAAATGGATTAAGTGTATCAATGATCAGACAATTATAGAACATCAACCAATAAAAATTCATTCAACTTGCAAACTATGGGAATGTAAATGAAATTCATTATTTTGTGCCATAGGTAATTAACAGGCCAGGAGTCCAGTAGTAAGACCTTAAACTTGGGCTAATTAAATGAACAATTGTAGTAAAATAAACATCAATTTTCCCCAATTCATTTTGAAATAGGAACATCCAGGAATGATGAAATTGATACTGGTGCTGATGATTATTTTATAGGGTTTTAAAGGGTATTAGGAAAGCTTCAGCAGTTCAGCATTTATAGATTTCTGCTTTTGCTTGGAAATCAATGGCAAAGGTCAGAAATACAGAAAGTTAATTAAGATTATACCACATGAACATAATCTATAGGCTGGAAGTCCACCGCTTAATCCTTGCAGCTGGAAAATCATAAAACCGCAAAGGGTTTCAAACGTTTAAAAAGATCGTTTTCCTTCCTGGGGTATCAAGTTTCCCAACCAAGCCCGCCTGGTGTATGCATCTGTCCACTCCGGTGCTTTAAGAAATTACGCCTCAGGCAAGATGGTCAGGACAGCAGTGCCGTGCAGTGCCTGAGATTCAGTTGCCAAAATGGGCACCGGAGCACCTCTCTGCCATCCATTGAGGTAGGAGCGTCTTTCCAAAAGGCAGATTCCGTTATTTGCAAGATGCGTCCACCTGAATTAGTTGCAGAGAGGTGAGGTAGCCCACGGGCCCCAAAGCCCCTTTTGGCAATGGAAGCTGGAGGCTGGCCAGCTCCAATGGAGATAGTATTTCTTCACCATTCGCAGCACTTTGCTTTCAGAGAGTCATTTGATCTTAGCCACAGCTGATCACCTTCCCGGTGGATAGAGAGAAATGTCAACATAGGCCAGGTAAAAGAAGAACAGGCCTAACATTGATTCCACCACATCCTGAACCTACTACAATCAACCATAATTCCACGGACTATGCCATGATAAATGTGCATGAGGCAGCTGGATGAGGTCATCTAACTATTTGGATTAAAATGTCCCTATTTACTTCTTTTCAGAAACTCAATTTGACTGGATGAGAGATAATAAACTGAAACTCAAAGCTTTCTATGCTTAAGGCAGAGATACTGCTGGTGCCTGAACGACCCAGATCCTGTTCAACTTCTCCATGAAAGAGAACTAGGTAACCTGTTGTTCACCAGGTGCTTTGCATTACAACTCCCATGGAAAGCTACCATCCCGAAGGCATGAAACACCTTTCATCAGCTATAGTCCCTTTAACAGATATGCCCTGGCCAAAATTATCTACATTTCTAAAACATCCCACTTGGGTTAGATGGTTTGCAAAGTTTCTGATCTGAGTCTTTGAAATGCTGTACCGTAGTAACAGACTGGTGTTACCACCTTGATTGCCTTCTAAAGCTAAGCTTTAATGAAATATTTCTTCTGAGCCCTTCAGATTACCCATCTTTTAGAGCAAAAAGGGAGGTCTTTTCATCACTGGAATGCATCTTCTGAATTTCCATCCATCCAGACCTAGTTCTGATGGGCTTTTGGTCTCAGGTGAAAATCCAGATAAGCACACTACTTTCCGTGCTCTCTAACAGACCCACTGTATGTGGTCTAAGGCCTAATTTAATATTTTAGTTCTTCACAAGCTCATCCTGGTATGATATAATGTTTTCTACTATTCTAGATCTAATGGGAGCTTTTATTCCCTTTTAAAGGGTTTCTAGATGCTCTGATGCCCTTTGGCCTGAAAAATAGATTACACCCACTGCAAATAAATACTGGGATATAAGTATAATTCAGTGTGATTTAATTGCTGACCAGAGATGTTTCAGATCATGCTGAGACGTTTCTACAGAACCTAGCAGGGCCTACTGGGGAGTTAAACCCATTTGCTATTCTCATGCCTAAGAAAGCAATACGGGTCTTTTAAAAACACATCTATAGGAAACAAGACACCAATACAAACATTTAATAACAGATTAGCAGCAAAGTAAAACTTTAAAATGCTCTAGTGAACTGAGAAGTCTAAGCCAAATAGGAAACAGCAAACTGAAACAATGACTGATGGGCATCATAGAAAAGAAAAAAACAGAAGAAAGAAGAAAATTCAGCTCCACACCCTGATAATTTATACCTCACAACAGCAAAGAGGAAGAGGCAGGCTTATCTGCAAAATGTAAGACTTGGGGCCATCCATGGGTGGAAAAGGCACCAAAATATGCAACGTAAAAAAAAACAAACCTATTTCTGTTGAGAGCTGTCATGTTTGCTATTGCAAAACACCACTAAACTAAAGTAGATCCTGAGTCCATGATGGTGGTAGCTTCATTACGCCTCATAGCTGGTGGGATTCGGACAGCAGTTGCTCCCTTGCAAGGCAGCACTTCTAGATTAGAGATTCCAGCTTGTCTAGAACAGCATGAGCATCCTTGGAGTAAAACTGGGCTTTGGCTGTACTGGTGGCCCATGGGCCCAAATCGATCCAGCATGACCAGTATTGTGTCCTTATAATCGCAGGCAATGCTGCCTTGTGGCCAGGTACAGCTCAGGTTGGAAAGCTGGTCTTCCCTTTCTCTGCATTATGAAAAGGCATTACAATATGTGAGGAATTTGACCATGATGGGCACCAACAGGCCCATCTGGTGACGGCCCAGCATGTGGAAGACTGCAGACCGGGAGAAAAGGGGAGCTGGTTGTACATTTGATGTATCAGAACAAAATGAAGGTGGTCTAATCTTGCAAAGTTGACCAATACACTCATGGACATAAAGGTATAGGTAGGCATGCATTCTCCTAAATTGCTTTGTTTCAGGTATTTTTGTCCCTGTTTAAAATTCTGTATTTTTTAGTATTTGTCTCCTTTTATCTGATGATGGGCATCACTTGACCTTTAACCTAGTCTGATCGATCTAGTCTGGTCAACCTCCAGGCATCGCTTAGAACACCTTCATTTACCCTTTCGGTTCCTTCTTCATGATGTCCAAGAAAGCCCAAGTTACAGAGCTGAAATTCAGTGGTCTGATTCTTCATTATTTTTAACAAATAACCAGGAAACTAGGTGCATTAACCCTTTGCTAACCTTAACATCCCCAAAAAGGGAGGGAAGCACCTCACCCCTCTACTGGCAACATTGCCAGGCCCTCAAAGGGTCCATCCAGAATCAGTCATGGAAGACCTGCTGGAATGTGGATGCTCCCTGGTCCAAGCCAGACTAGTAACCACAGTTAAAAGAGGGACTGTCAAGGGCAATGCTTCTTTGGAGAATTGTCTGAACAAGGCCTGTAAGGTCAAGATTCCTGCAAGCAGAAGAGTCAAGCTTTAAGGCTGGTGCAGCCAGGAACCCAAGACTTCACCATGTGTAAACCACGTAGATGAACTCATTGGGACCGCCACACATGGTTTCCACGGTTCTAAGAAATTCTGGTTCTGAAAACAATGCTCAACTTCCTTGATAAATTCTGGCATCTGCAAAGTGCCTTTAAGGAATAGGAATGTAACAACTGAACAGCTAGCTGTTCAGTTCAAGGAAATCTCACATTGCCAAACCAATATTAATGTTTCAGCTTTAAGCACAGTTAATGTTATGGGGAGACATTCCTACCATCAGGTAGACAGATGGAGCCCAAGTCTGTTAAAAACAAAACGTCAAACAGTAACTGTGACATGAGTTAGGAGCTTCAAATATTGTCAAAACACTGTACACCAGAAGCCTGGTGGCTCTCAAGAAGAAAGCTTAATGAATATAAACACTTTTGATGATACCTTAATGGCAATGGCAGCTATGGGGAGGGAGGGAGGATCGTTCAAGGGAGCAGAGCGCAACCCATCAGGAAGTTCTCCCACCATGCTCCTGGGCAGTTCCCATTAATTTTGGTAGGTTTGTAATTCAAGCTCCAAAGCATTTCAGAACCCGAAAGAACGTCCAAATCCTGCTCTTTGACATCACCTCTAGCTAAAATATATTTTTTCCTCTCGCTAAAATATATAGGTCATTTTTCTCCACTGAACTTTGCACTGCTGCCATTTGAAAGCGGAGGAGGAGGCATGTAAAATAATGCATTATGAAGCATCTCACTGGGGTCCCTTCTTTTTCTAACAACTGTCTCTAAGAAGAAAGGAAATTCCAATTAATTTGGAGGGGAAATGTGGAATGTCTTGATATTAATTGGGGAATTAATGTGATCTGACCCGCCACTTAGGGGATACCCTTTTAATTAATTTTTTCCTTCCTTTCATTTACTATTTTATTTTAGCTTACTTAATTTATACTAATAGCTTTACTAGTATAATAGTATATTATTAGTATAATATTAGCATAATAACAAGATACTCTGGAGAAGTGAAGGAGAGATTAAAGATATTTTAAAACTTCTGTGCATTTGGGCAATTTTATGGTGGATTGCTGTGTTTGAAAAATTGCTTTATCTGCTTTTGCACTACATCCAAAATAAAATTGTCTGCCCCCCTCCCCCAATTCACTAGCAAAATGGCCATCTTTCGAGAACACCGTTCCTTACTGTTTCTGGCAAAATTAAGCATGGAAATGGGGTTTATGCTCTGAGCCCCAGTGTCTGCTCTGACTCTTTGCAGAGTGGAGGTTAGTCTCCGGAGGCCCCCTTCTAAGAAATCAGCTTGGGGGAAATGTCTGGATCTCCCCGAACACTCAGCTGGGTTTTGGCAATGCTGCTGTTTCTTCTGCACTTACTTCGAGGATCTCCATGTTGGGAGAGAGAGCCTGGCGGAAGGGCGGGTCTCGGTTGAACAACTAGATACGGTAGGTATAAAAACCCATCAGCATCGAGCAGACACCCATGGGCTGTTCACACACACACGTAGAGTCCACACGTCAGGGTGGGGAGAAACCTCCGTCTCAAATGTGCTGCTTCTGATAATCGCTTCCCTTAACAACAGCTTTCCCACAGGACTGCTACTGGAAACTTAGCCGGGCAATGAAGTGATATTGTATATTCAAACTTAAATGAAACTGACAATATTAAATATATATGGCATGACCGAACAACGAAGGGGCTCCTCTGAATTATAAATGAGGGCGTGCAACCGCATTGCCGAGATGAGACGTCGCCTGCCAGGGCGCTCACGGGCCCAGACCATGCATGTTGCAACAAGGGAGACTTCTGGCTGAGTAAATGTATTTAACAAGCAAGCTAATGATTTAAGGTAATAAAATATACAGTAACAAATTCACGCAGAACAGAGCAAGTAGTTTTCACAAACAATGGAAGTGAAGTTTTAAACTGTAGAGAAACGATCCTCAGGAGCTGAATCTACAGACGTCTCATAAAGTGCAAGTTTACAGAAACATGACAATTGAGCAGCAATTAAAGTAACACAAAGAAATTAGCACTGACCACTCTAAAGAGTATAAAAGGTCACACCAGGGCTCACACAGCACCACTGGCAGCGGGTGGGAGTGGCACCTCGGTAAGCAACTACCCATTTATGGAAAATGTGCTTGCACAAACAGACACTGAAGTCATTTCTGCAGCATGAGGATTCTGCACCATTTCAGAAACATCTCTGGAGCTTCTATGATCTGGTGTTCGCTGTGTTTGAGATCTCAGCCAATTTGTTTCTGCTGTGGTATACCTAAAACTGCAGTAAAACAAAAGTTTTGGGAAGAAGAAGCAGCAGTATCTCAGTCTTCTAGATCTGCTTCCCCATTTGCAAAGACTCCTCTCTCACCATCACTCCTGGGTCCTGGGCTTCAGGTCCTGGCGAAAGGTGGCTGGACACGTTTTTAGCTCCACCTCAACAGTGATTGCTGAGATTTTGTGTGCATCCTATTGGACAAAGAGCACGCAACTTGGAGGAAGATCATGGAAGAGGGGCGGGAGTGAAAGCCATTTTTGTTACTGCAAGATCTTCAGCAGCTTGGTGAGGAACATTTCAAAGTCACCAGGTTGGAAGATGACTGTAAACCCTCTCTTATGACTTTGGAGATTCCCCCCGAGTTCTGACCCTTTGGCAGCCGAGAAACAAATGACTTGCCACAGAAAGCTTGAGAAAAGAAAGCTGCAAGAACTGAAAATAGCTTCTAAACAACCGTGAAAGATTATAGGCATCTGGGAGAGAACTTGAGGAAGATTCCAAAAGGACGCGAGCAATACGCAGGGCTACGCCCTCCCTGGCTCTCTGTCTGGAAATGGGGGCTGCAGTGGTCACAGGAGGCCCTAACCGGAGTAGACTTTCTCCTCTCCTCCCATGGAGGGCTCTAGGCACATACAGCACTTTCTAAACATGTAGTTGGTGGGTATGGACCACGGGGCGTACCTGGAGGCAAGGCAGCACTGCGCACACCCCCTTCTCTCCTCTGCATCTGGACACTTGAGAAGGCAACCCACATGGGCCCCACCAGCACCAGTATGCCACCAGACTCCCAGCTCCACTGGGAAGCAGCACAAATGCGGTCAATCAAGGAACCATCAACTTCTTTGTTTCCAAAATGAATCTGGGCTTTGGGGGGAAATAAAAATGGTAGATGGCTGCAGCCAATTTCTTTTTTTTTAAGTGCGTCCTCTTGCCCAGAAAAGGAAAAAAAAGAAAAAAAGACAAAGAGAGACGGGGTGACAGAGGACACTGGGGTCATTGTGACGGCTACTGGGAGTGCTGGGGTGCGTCCCACTGCTTTGCCTTGCGGTGAATGGGTGCTTTGTGACTGAACACAGCCATTAGGGCAGACATTTTGTGAGAACACCACAACAATCTCAACCTTCCAAGGTGTCCACTGTCTTCTCCCTCCCCCCCCCAAAAAAAATAATGGGGGGGAGGATCTCCTGCTTTACAACATTCTTGAGGCAAAACTATACCTGACACAACGTTCCATGGCTGCATTTCTCCCACGTGGTTAAGAAAGCACCACCAAGAATAGTCCCTTCTTAGAGGACCCAGAAGAAGTACATGTCCATTTTGCTCCTCATTCAGCCACTGCAGCCATTTTTCACCATGAGAATCCCGCAGAGAAGGAGATCCACAAAACTGCACTTCATGCATGAAACAGCAGCAAAGTGATAACGTCCAGGCCAGATAAAGGGTTTATAATCTACATTTCAAGCGTCCAAAGATCGTGGGAAAGCCTAGGGCTGGGGTAACGACCCCACGAGCTAATTAGCTGGTTACAGGGAGGAAAAAACAGCGAAGGGTTGCTTTCATCGGAGAGGCTCTGGAAGATGACGTGGCTGGCATTCCTGGGAACAGTGCTAGAGGAATCGCTAAGCCCCAGCAATCAGGAAGACAAAGCCAGCACTCACAGATAAGGCAAGGCCAGGATCAGGTGTACTGGGAGGCAAGGACTCTTCCGGTCCTTCTCTTGGGCTTCCAGATTTCACTTTGAAAATGAGGACAGAAAATAAGCTTCTGGAACAATCTGAGGACGAAGGGAGGAGCAGCGTGCCACCTAAACACCCAGGGCCGCCAAGCCAGCAGACTCCCATCCAGAAACAGGTCAAGGTTTTCCTTCCCCTGAATTCTGGTAAAACGTACTCAAACACCTTGCTGAAACAGACCGCGAAGCTAATCTGACTTGATGCTTTTTTTTTTAAAGAAGTCAGACTTTTCAGGTTTGCCAGGTTGTGCTGTCTTCTCACGTAAGCTGTTCGCTGGGTGCTATCCCCAGATTTATTCCTTGCAAACAGCTGTTGGCAGCCTCGCCAAAATAAATAAACTGAAACACCTCTGAAAAATAAAAAGGAATCAATATTGCAACAACAAAAGCTGCCGTCTTGATCAGAGGAACTTTAGCTGCTTAAATTTAATTGACTTCCACATTTATTTTCATTACATTTGTTCTTTGAGAAGACAAAACCTACCAGGGCAGCTTACAATCTGCCATCGAACATACAGAAATATTTCTGGAATGCAAATAGCCATTTCTGGGGTCCTTCCCAGAAGACAACAGGGGGAAGGGAAGGGTCTGGTTGAGCAGGCTTCTAAGATGACCTTCAAGTGCTGTCTTCTCCTTCTGCATCCACGGCTCCTCCCACAGGGGAGATGGGAGGAGGAAAGGGATGTAGGCAGACGCAGACCTAGTACAGAGACTGCAGCCTTACCAAAAACTTCCTGAACCCTTTTCCTAATTCCCAGTCGATCCTCTTAACACAAGAGGAGGAGGAGGAGGAGGAGGAGGAGGAAACACTGACTTCAGAATGAATGAACCACCATCTGGACTGGCATGCTCCAAAAGGTCAGTTCAGAGAAGGTGCCTCTAACGCCTTCTGTCTGAGACGTACGCTCCAGAATCGGCTTCAGCGGAGCGCTATAGGTCAGCGGTAAGGAAAAGACTCACTTTTGTGGATTGCTCACGACTATTTCATCAGGCTATTTTTACAGCCTGATGCTATAAATGTATTTGATCTACCCAGTTTGCCAAACTCAGCCTCTGCACATTTTGGGGGTGCGGACAACCCTCTGTACCTTTCTTGCGCATGTTTTGATAAAGTGAGAAAAGCAAGCTGAATCCTGGCAGTGCCACAAGACAGTCTGGCACAGGCAGTTGCAGAGGTTGCCTTCCTACCCACCTTCTTCAGCAGCTTCATCCCAGGTTGCCTATGCTGGCTTGGATTCTGGGAAGTGTAGCCCAAACGCACATGGAGGGCTTCGGGTTGGGGAGGATACCTCACCTCTCCCTCCTTACCTCTTGTATCTGTGGCTACCTTCATTCCAAAAATTCTGTGGTCAGGAAGGACGCAGTCTGAGTCAGTGGGTACACACACAACTGAACTCTGGCCAAGAGAGTCATATGCACTTGAGAGTGTCTGAACGGGGGAAAACACACAAAGTCCCATGTTAGAAGCAGACAAGTATCTCTTTGAGTTGGGCACATCTGGGATTCCCACTTTGCTCGAAGTTCTTGCAAGGGTCTTTGCAATTTCCATGACCATCCAACACAGGTGGTTGATTTCTATTCCATAGCAATCCGAGCCTGAACTGTTGCCTGTAATGCCTCACTTACCAATGATGACAAAGAACAGCATCACTGCCTACAACAGTTCATGCCCAGCTTCCGCTTGGGGCAGGTTCTTCACGTTATCCATCTACGAAAGGGTTGCCCACCCCAGGGAGAATACACTCTTCTCCTGAACTGGTGATTACTGAGAAGATGCCCTTCCAGATCAGTAGATCCCAAGCTGAGCACTGCTGCTGCTCCTTCCTCCTCTCCTGTGTTGGCAAGGGGCTTGTTTTACATTCCAAGCTGCCACAAAAATTTTGTTTTGCACAAATCTGCAGCCTGTTCCCTGGTACTTTCATTGTGATGCATGGTTATGCTGCTAGAAAGGAAAAAGCCATCAGTTTCCACGTGTGTGAAAATGGCTAAATCTAGAACGGATCAAAGCAGTCAGTAAGCTCAAAACTCTTCAGAAAGTAAATTTCACTGATTGACAGCATAAGCTTTGTTCTGCTTTGTTTCAAAAAACCCAGAACCATAATTTGACTCCGGCCAGCAACAAAAGGTTTTCACTTCTATTTTAAAGAAAAATATAGCCTCTGACATCACTCCAGTCCACCAAACTGACCTTAACTAAAGTCTGTTGAAACAAACCACATTAAAACCTAAGTTATATGACTGGCTCCTCTCCAAAAACCAACCTGAGATTAACCACAGTTTCATAATCTGGAGCCTAAAATGGTTAACATGGAATGAAAGTGGGTGCCTCCCTTTCCTCCTTGCTGCAGCACAGGGGGCAGGGGGAGAGCAAAAGCCTTGCACCCTCTCATCTGCTTGGCATCTGGGCGAGCCAGACCCTGGAC